AGGAAGGAAGGAAGGAAGGAAGGAAGGAAGGAAGGAAGGAAGGAAGGAAGGAAGGAAGGAATTGCCATATATCTAGTGAGTTTTATGCGATACTAGTATGTCCTTCCTGAAATTTTTTTTAATATTTATTTGTTTTGGGGAGAGCACAAGTGGGGGAAGGGCAGAGAGAGGGGGACAGAGGATCTGAAGTGGGCTCTGTGCTGACAGGCTAACAGCAGTGAATCCGATGTCGAGCTCGAACTCACAAACTTCGAGATCATGACCTGACCCGAAGCCGGATGCTCAACTGACTGAGCCACCCCAGGTGCCCCCTTCCTGACACTTTTAAGTTAGCCTATAAATTCTAGGAACATAAAAACCAGGTGAGTATTGGAGAATATAGTTTGAGAAAGGAGAGAAATTATAAAGGAAATACTACATTGTGAAACTTTTATAGTGTGTGTATTTGTGAGTTTTGCATGCAGATAAGTCAGATGAGTTATTAGTTATCTCTGGTAATGTGGAAAATTACTAATCTATTATTAAAACAGGTATGTTTATAAATTTGAAAAAGCAAAACATTTATTAAAAAGGATTGAAAGGCCTTGGGCATACAGTTCAAGTGGTGATGAGTTTTTAACTTCAAGCCTATAAAAATTGGGGGCAATACTCTAACTCTTGGACTTTTTCTACTGTGTTCACAGAGTACAAGTACTATTGAAAAGCTTTTCACTTATTTTATAACATAAGTTTAAGGGGTTTTATGGAAGTGCTTTTTATTGACCTACTTGTTATGTACTATTTTAATTTCATATCCTTTAGATATTTGGATTTGCACTGCATTTTGGAATTCATCTTCACTTACAATGTCACCATCAAATGGAGGTCCAGTTCGACCCAGCCCCCCAGATGGAGGCTGGGGTTGGGCAGTGGTTACTGGAGCTTTTATTTCCATTGGCTTCTCTTGTGCATTTGGCAAATCTATTTCTGTATTTTACAAAGAAATTGAAGAAATATTTAATGCCAGCACCAGCAAAGTGTCATGGATCTCTTCTATTATGTTCGCTGTCATGTATGCTGGAGGTAAGTACCCAGAAGGTCTGTACTTTTAGCTTTCAAAAGGTGGACAAAAACCCCATATTGAATACTTTTTGTTCTTGATGCCTTTCTGTGTAAGATACTTGAAATGTTAGTTTTTGAGGCTATGCGATTTGAGTCATATTTTTCATTCCCTTTAACAATAAAGGCTACATACAACTGTGAGCTGTTAGCTCAGTTATATTGCAAAGCAGATATCATTATGAAGGATAACTTTCACTAAAAATGATTATGTATGGTTGCTGGTATATGGAATGTCAACTGATGTTTTATGTTTTAATCATATATCCTTGCTAAACTCTTAATACTTCCAATAGTTTATTGGTAGGTGTTTTTTTTTTTCTTCAAAATTTTAAGATAGACTAACATATCTTTTGCAAATACTGATAGTTTGGTTTCTTCCTTTCCTTACACCTTTTTCCCCCCTCTCTTACTGCGCTGGCTCGGACCTCCAGTATAATGTTGAAGAAAAGTGGTGATGGTAGGCATTCTTGTTTTGTAGTTCTGTTTTGGTTTTGTTGTTTTCTCTGAGAAACAAAGTACCTTTTAGCTAACTTGAAAATATGCTCTAAAGTCAGAAGTTTGATCAGGCTCATACATCTCGTCATGTTCATGTGCATTTGCTCCAGATGATCATCTAAAAAATTAAAAACAGAGCAAACTTGCTACATATATATATGTCAGTAATATCCTAGATACATGAAGAATCCTATAAATACGTATTTGCAGCCTATTTTGCCTTAAAGGAGATAGGTTAGGTCTTCCATACTTCAGTTAAAATCCATCCAATATGTTGTAAGTGTATAGATGTACAATCAATGCTAGATTTTTCCCATTACACAAACCTGTAACTCTGATACAAAATAGAAAGCACTATTTCTTACCAGTGTCTTCTGTTTCATCTGTTTATTTTGTGGGGTGGGGTACTTATGTCTTGGCATCCTTTCGTGTCAGTAATGCCTTGTGCAGGTGTGGATGGGAGTGGGGGGCTTCTCCTCTATGTTACTGAGTTACTCGCTCTCTCCCAGGTCCTGTCAGCAGTATCCTGGTGAATAAATATGGCAGTCGTCCAACCATGATTGTTGGTGGCTGCTTGACAGGCTGTGGCTTGATTGCAGCTTCTTTCTCCAACACTGTACAGGAACTTTACTTGTACATTGGATTCATTGGAGGTGAGTTGCTACTGATGTATTTTGAAGCATTAATTTTTATGCAGATTATTTGTAGCATTCATCTGCCAATTCTTTTGAGAAATGAAAGTTCTTAGAAAAATGATTGGGTTACCATTTTTAAGAGCTATAGATATGTTAATTTCATAGTACCAGAAAAACATGTCTTTAAAGAAAGTTCTGGGGGCGCCTGGGTGGCTCAGTTGGTTGGATGTCCGACTTCAGCTCAGGTCATGATCTCGCGGTCTGTGGGTTCAAGCCCCGCATCGGGCTCTGTGCTGACAGCTCAGAGCCTGAAGCCTGTTTTGGATTCTGTGTCTCCCTCTCTCTGACCCTCCCCCGTTCATGCTCTGTCTCTCTCTGTCTCAAAAATAAATAAACGTTAAAAAAAATTTTTTTTTTAAAAGAAAGAAAGTTCTGGCACTTTGGGTGGTTTTTTTTTTTTTAAGTTGGTTTATTTATTTTATTTATTATTTATTTTATCTCTGCTAAAACAGAGAGAGTATAAGCAGAGTGTGAGGCAGAGACAGAGAGAGAGAGAGAGAGAGAGAGAGAGAGAGAGAGAATCCCAAGCGGGCTCTTCTCTATCAGCTATCTGCTATCAGTGCAGAGCCCATTGTGGGGCTCAAACTCACAACTGTGAGATCATGACCTAAGCCTATATCAAGAGTCAAACGATTAACTGACTGAGTCATTGGGTGGTTGTATTTTACTGACAGTTTTTCTTTCTTCCTTTTTTTTTCAAGCTTAAGAAACAGTGGTGATAGGTTGTGACAAGTTGCTGAAATGGGGGTTATCGTCTATTCCCACTCATTATCCTTCCACTCAAGAAGAAGTTGGCTCAATTTAGAGTAAGAGAAAATGTCAGATACAAAGCAAGAATTTTCTGGTTGAGAATCCATAGACATTTTCAAGGGCTTAGGGACACACATGAGAAAACCTCCCTTCCCCCTTTCTTAATAGCTACATTTGGAAAATGAAACTACTAAGGATAAAGAATATAGATCACCCATTACTCTACAATTCAGAGAAAACCATTAATATTTTGATGCTCGTATTTTTTATGCATACACATGTACTTTTCTTAGAAAATAAAGGGGATAAAATTATATATAATGTTTGTAACCGGGTGGTTTTACGTAATAGTGCATTATGTATATAGTCCCCCATTTCAGTAAATATACTGTAGCAGCTACTATTTTCCATTGGATGGATATACCATAGTTTATTTCACCATTCTGGAATAGAAAGACCTTTAGGTTGTTTATATTTTTCACTATTAATAAACCATATTTATATGATAGTACTTCTCTATACATCTTTGTGAACATGATAATTTCCATAGGACAAATTTTAGAAGTAGAATTACTCAGGGAAAAGGTTTTTGATGTGGTTTTTGATATTGTTTTAGAAAGGTTATAATAATGTACAGTCCGACCTGCAGGATGTGAGATAATGCCAATAACAGGTATCATCTTTTTGGATCTGTACTTTGACTACATTCATGAACATTTTAAACATTTAAATATTTTAATCCATCTAGAGCATGTGAATAACATAAGGAACGAACAGAACTTAATTGTTCTCACTTGGCTATTCAGCCTGTTTATTACTTCATTTATTAATTCATTCAATAAATATTTATTGAGTCCCTATTGATATGTCAGGGACTGTTTCCAAGCTCTGTGGGGATAGAGTCACCATGACAGACAAGGTTCTTCCTTTGTAGTGGAGGGAAGCAGACAATAAACAGACCAACAAATAAATGAATAGATAAATACATATTAGCTAGTGAGAAGTGCTTTGCAAAAACTTAAAACAGAGAATTTTGGTGAAGGATTGAATGACCCCTAAAGGGAAGACCTCTCAATGGGTTATCTTGGGTTGACATGTGGATGATAAGTAGGAGTTCTTCCTCTAGATTTTGTGAAAATCTAGAGGAACAGATGCCCTCAGCATGTCTGAGAATATACTGAGATGTGGGTAGGGAGGTAGGGAAGGGCCAAATCATGGTGCTTCCTAATCCAGGGTGAAGAGCTGTGGATGGAAGTCAGTGGAGGGACTGAAGGGGTGGCATTCTGGTCTGGTTTCCCCGGGAAGGGAGCAAGAATGGGAGAACACTTAGTAGGTTATTGGGATACTTGTCTCAGCTCCATTGGTTGAAAAATCTACTCTTCCCTATTTATTTAAATGTATCTTTTGGTTCTGTTTCTGGACTTTTTGCCCAATTTCATTGATCAGTTTTTCCTTTTGACTAAGTGCACACTGTTCTAATTACTGTAGCTGTAACTGTAGCAAATATTTATATATCTGTTAGTGTTTGTCTCACCAATTATTTACCCTTTTTGAATACTTCTAATGCATTTGTTCTCCGGGTATATTTTAGAGTCATTCTACCTCATCTGAAAAATTGAATACATTAGCATTCTCATAGAAATTACATTACATTAATGGATTTACTAAGGTGTATTAGCATCTTCACAGTGTTGTGTTTTACTGTCCCAAAATGTTTTCTCTCTCTTTCCATCCCTCCCTCTTTCTTCTTTTTCTGACCTCAGCCCCTCCACTTATGTCTTACTTCCTGAATTTGTGAGATTTATCCTCTCTCCTTTTTGTTTTCAATTCCCTAAATTATGAAATTAAACTAAGGAGTCTACATATATTATTCTTATTGTTGCTAACATCAAAGAATTATTTTAATGTTATATTATAAATCTAGTATTTGCTGCATAAAGAGACTTTATGTCTGTATTTATTCAATAGCAGCCCACTTAATCATCTACTTACTAGTTATAATCACCTCTCTTACAATGATGATTTTGACCTCCTGCCATTCATTTTGTCTAGTTGATCAATAACAAATATGTTTCTGACATTTATTCTGGTATGTAATTCTTTTCCTCCCCTCCACAGGTCTTGGGCTTGCCTTCAACTTGAATCCGGCTCTGACGATGATTGGCAAGTATTTCTACAAGAAGCGACCATTGGCAAATGGACTGGCCATGGCAGGCAGCCCTGTGTTCCTCTCTACCCTGGCCCCCCTCAATCAGGCTTTCCTCGGTATCTTTGGCTGGAGAGGAAGCTTCCTAATTCTTGGGGGCCTCCTACTAAACTGCTGTGTAGCTGGTGCCCTGATGCGACCAATAGGGCCCCCACCAATGAATGCAGGGAAAGACAGGTCTAAAGAATCCCTTCAGGATGCTGGAAGATCTGATGTAGAAAAGGGGACAAATAATGCAAGTACAGATTTTAATGGAAGAAACCCCAAAGACAAGAAACAATCAGTTTTTCAAAGAGTTAACAAAGTTATAGACTTATCCCTGTTTACCCACAGAGGCTTTCTACTATACCTCTCTGGGAATGTGGTGATGGCTTTTGGGCTGGCTACTCCTTTAGTCTTTCTTAGTAATTATGGCAAGAGTAAACATTACTCTAGTGAGAAGGCTGCCTTCCTTCTTTCCATTCTGTCTTTTGTTGATATTGTAGCCAGACCTTCTATGGGACTTGTAGCCAACACAAAGTGGATAAGACCTCGAGTTCAGTACTTTTTTGCTGCTTCTATTATTGCAAATGGAGTGTGTCATCTGCTAGCACCTTTATCCTCCAGCTACATTGGGTTCTGTGTCTATGCGGGATTCCTTGGATTTGCATTTGGGTGGTTTAGCTCCGTATTATTCGAAACACTGATGGACCTTGTTGGACCCCAGAGGTTCTCCAGCGCTGTGGGATTGGTGACCATTGTGGAATGCTGTCCTGTCCTCCTGGGGCCGCCACTTTTAGGTATAGTATGCCTTACTACCTCTTTGGTCCTCTTAACATAAAACAGGCATAGAAAATTGGGAAGGTGATAAAAAGCAGAGATTAGTGAGCCTCTGGGCGGCAGAGAGCAAGCATGTCTCTTTTTTTTTTTTCCTTTTTCTTTTTTTATGAGTAGGCTCCATGCCCAGTGTGCAGCCCAAGGAAGGTCTTGAACTCACGACCCTGAGAACAAGACCTGAGCTGAGATCAAGAGTCAGACACTTAACCAACTGAGCCACCCAGGCACCCCAATATTTCTCATCTCTGTGGCCTCAGTGTTGGCACAATGCTTGGAACAGCATAATTCCTCAGATACTTACAGAATCGAATTACATTGAACCATCAAGCTGAAAGGAGAGTGAAAACAATTACAAACTTAAACATTCATTAAGATAAACTTTTCTGATTATAAAACTAATGTGTATTATAGAAAAACATATAATATACACTCTACCTTTAAAATACTTTGGTAATTTCATTTTAATTGTGGAATTTATCATAGTAGTAATATTTAAAATAATAATAAGAGTTACCAGGGGAGGGCTCACAGTGTACCAGGGGCTGTCTAGATAATTTCATATACCCTGTCATAGCTCACAAGTCTATAAGGTAAGACTGTTAATGTCCCCTCTTTATCAATGAAGAAATAGAGGCTTTTAAAAGTGAAATAACTTGCCCAAGTTCACACAACAAGTGACCATAAAACTTGATGGATTATTCTCTGAGAGTACCAAATTGTTTACAATTTAAAACAAATTTTTTAACGTTTATTCATTTTTGAGAGAGAGAGGGAGAGAGCGCACGTGCTAGCACGTGAGTGGGGGGAGATGTGGGGGTGGGCCAGGGGACACAGAATCCGAAGCAGGCTCCAGGCTCTGAGCTGTCAACACAGAGTCCAACATGGGGCTCAAACCCACAAACTGCGAGATCATGACCTGAGCCGAAGTTGGATGCTTAACCAACTGAGCCACCCAGGCACCCCTAAAGTTACTATTAATGTAAAATGCAGTAGTAATTGGGACTTCCTCTGAATATGACTCATGCTTTTTAGATTATGCATTATAAGTAAGGAAGGATTCATAAAAGAAAATCCACTACTGATTTTTCTAGACTCCCAGTACTCATTCCTCCCTATATCCAATGAGAGTCCAAGTCCTATAAATTTCTAAATCTGTAAGCTCCTAAATCTCTCTCTAGTTGGCCCACTTTTTCTGTCACAACACCACCCCATCCACAGTTCCTGTCCCCTATCTGGGTTGCTCCAGCAGCCTCCAGACTGGTCTACCCATATCCACTCTAGCCAGCCTACAATCTGTTTTCTACTCTGCAGGCAAATACAAACTCGATATTCCAGCTGATGAGATCTTTCCAGTTGCTTCCCATTGTTCTTGGGGTGGAGAGCAAATTCCCTTGTGGCCTACAAGGCGCCCCCCAGCCTGGCTTCCAATCTCTCCAGCCTCATTTCCTGTCACTCACCTTTTGTTCTCTCTGCTCCAACAGCCCCGCCCTTCCTCCTTCCCCTCTCACACCCCAGCTTCCTACCACCTGCCTTTGCACTTGCTGTGCTCTGGCCTCATCCTTCTCCCATCCCCTCCTCCTAGATGGGTCCCATCCTCCTCTAGGTCCCTGCTTCATTTACACTGTAAGAGAAGCTTTCCTGACCCTGCTTGCTGCTCCCAACCCCCTATTTTCTGCTTTCAAACACTCCTTGTCACGGCTTGTCTAATTATTTGATTAACATTTCTCTTCTCCACTGAACTGTGGATGTTCTCTCCTCTGCTCTCCCTTATCCTCAGGGCCAGCAGCCCGGTGCCGAGTGTATGCGTCAGCCCGATAAATATTGCTGAATGAACGATGTCCTGAGTTAGAAAAGCATATGGAATCATATTTGAATTGGTTGTATTAAGTCCTCTTGGGTGTTTATTCCTTAACTAACCAATTGGGTGAGATGCTAATAAATTTTACTATAACAAGGATTTCATGGCCAAAACATTTTTGGAAACCCCAAGTTTGATAGATTACCAGAGGACCTTGCAAAGCCTATTTAATATGCACGTGGTGAATCTTTACCAGAAAAGAATATGTTATGCCATTCCCTAAGTTTGACTTTGGGAACACTCAGGAGGTTACAGGTGCAGCTTCAGTGTCAGACTTCCTGGATTAAAAGCCATGTTATTTCACCTATGAGCTCTGTGACCTTGGGCGAGTTACTTAAGGTTTCTGTACTTCAGTTTGTACATCATACAGCGGGAATGATGACAGAATCTGCCTGTTGTGAGGATTAAGCACTTCGAATGGTGGAAAGGTGTTGCTGTTAATTGTATAGCACAGGCCAAGTGTTCACAGGGACCGCTCTTTGGGAAATGCTGATGTCCGCGAAAGAGCATTGGCCAGGAGACTGCAGTTAGCTCTGTGGCCTGGGGCAAGACTCCTAAACCTCTTTTGAGCAACAAATTTTTCCACTGTGAATCCAGAGAATTGATTCTAGATGATCTGTAGGTCTTTCCTGGCTCAAATTTGGAAAGATTTCGTTATTTTCAAGTTGCTAAAAATAACAAAATATGCAAGGCCATCTAAAACCCAAGTGTGACATAAAAGATGAGATAATTTTTAGCAGTTCTTTTTTTAGACTAATTTGTCATTTATGGGCTCTTTGAGGATTGGTTGACATCTTTCTGAGTAGATCCTTCGGCTTCATTTGGGAAAGGTATACTTGTTCACTTTTGCCCACATAACTGTGTTTTGGATATCTTCAGGTCGTCTGAATGACATCTATGGAGACTACAAATACACATACTGGGCGTGTGGTGTGATCCTAATTATTGCAGGCATCTATCTCTTCATTGGCATGGGCATCAATTATCGGCTTGTGGCGAAAGAACAGAAAGCAGAGAAGCAGCAGAAAAAGGAAGGTAAAGAGAAGCCAAAAGAAGTTATTAAAGCAGCAGACTCTAGAGGATAGAGAGGCACATAAGGCCCCAAAGAGGAGAAACATCCAGTCTGAACCATGGATAACCAGAGAAGCTTTGGACTAAAAACACCTGAAAAATTCTACTGAATCTTGTTCTATTGGCACTGCTCACCACAGCCAGTGGACATTTGTGTGGAAGTCATACCAGGTACCCACTGATGGAATTTTTGTTTCATTCCCTCACAGCAGTCATAATGTATATGTCACATCCTTTGGGGCCAGGGGATTTACAGAAGATAACAGATGAAAATGCTTTTATTTGAAGTCATCTTTGTTAAGATATACTTTACATACAATAATTAGTCTCTTTTATAAGACTCAAGTTTGATGAATTTTGACAAGGCATCTATATAAATAACTACCCCCCCAATATAGAACATTTCAGACAGCCAAAGTAATTCCCTCTTGCCCCTCTGCAGTCCATTCTTTCCCTTCCCTACATCCCCTGGCAACCACTGGTCTTATTTCTGTCCCCTATAGTTTTGCCTTTTCCAGAAGGTAGTAAATGAAATCACATCATAGTATGTAGCTAGCATAATAAGAAATATATATTTCATCTTTGTCCCTAGTTTCTGGTACAGAGCTCCTAAAACCCTTGGATTTCTGGGTGATGAGTGTTTTCCGCATTCTAGTTAGATAACTGATGTCTAGAACCCCCTAGATAGCTTCAAGATAGGGACTGGTCTCCAAAAAGACCAAGGCTTTGATCAGAGGGTTGGGACTTTCAGCCCCTCTCCCACGACCTCTGGGGAAAGGGGAGGGGCTGGAAGTTAAGTTCAATTACTAACAGCCAGTGATTTAATCAACCATGCCTACACAGTGAAACCTCCATAAAAACTCCTAAACTGCAAGGCTTAGAGAGCTCCCTGGTTGGTGAATACATTGACGGGCTGGTGTCCGGAGGGTAGGATGCTCAGACAAGACACGGAAGCTCCACGCCACGCCTCCCCACCATACCTCATCCATTGCGTCCTATGCATCTCTTTCATTTGGCTGTTCCTGAGTCGTCTCCTTTATAATATATCAATAAACGTAAGCAAAGTGTTTCCCTGAGTTCTGTGATCCATGCTAGCAAATTACCAAACCTGAGAAAAGAGTTGTGGGAACTCCCAACTTACAGCTAGTGGGTCAGAGGTACAGGTAAACAACCTGGGACTTGTGGCTGGAATCTGAAATAAGGACAGCCTTGTGGGACTGAGGCTTTAAACCTGTGGAATTGGACACTAACTCTAGGTACTTAGTGTCAGCATTGAATTGAACTGTAGGACCTAGGTTAGTCTGGAGAGTTGTTGGAAAAATGGTCATTGTGGAAAAAATTGAATGTCACAAGTGTTGTAACAGAGTAACCTTCTATGTCTGGCTTCTTTACCTAACATAACGTTTTATGACTCATCCATTTCATTGCATTTATACATAGTTTGCTGCTTTTTATTGCTGAGTAACATTTCTTGGTGTGAATGTACCATAATTTGGATATCTGTTCACCAGTTGATGGACTTCAGTTTTTTCCACTTTTTGGCTATTATAAGTAAAGTTTCTATAAGCATTCACACAGAGGTCTGTGTAGACATATGCTTTCATTTCTCTTGAGAAAATGCCCAGCATTGGGGTTGCTGGGTCATGTAGCAAGTTCATGTTTAACTTTTAAGAAACTCAAACTATTGTTGAATTGGCCAAACCATTTTGTAATCCAACTAGCAAAGTTTGAGAGATCTAGTTATTCTGCATCCTTGTCAGCACCTGGCATTGTCAGGCTTTTTGCTTTTAATTTCTCCTACAACTGATGATGTTGACCATATTTTCTTCTTCTTTTTTTTTTAAATATTTTTAATGTTTATTTATTTTTGAGAGAGAGAGAGAGCACGAGCAGGGGAGGGGCAGAAAGAAAGGAGACACAGAATCCGAAGCAGGCTCCAGGCTCCAAGCCATCAGCACAGAGCCTGACGTGGGGCTCAAACCCACGAACCATGAGATCATGACCTGAGCCGAAGTCAGACACTTAACTAACTGAGCCACCCAGGCACCCCATTATTGACCATATATTCATGTGCTCGGTCATCTGTATATTTTTAGCAAAGCCTTGTTTTTTAATCCTGACACATTTAACAGAGTCTTAAGGCACTTATTTAAGTGCCTTACTTGTTGTGATGTGCACTGGGTGTTATATGTCAATGATGAATCACTAAATTCTACTCCTGAAACTAATATTACACTACATGTTAACTAACTAGAATTTAAGTAAAAAATTGAAACATCAAAAAAAATTTAGTGCCTTGAATTTTTGTCTTTCAAACTCTTCAGAAAACTTTTCCTGACACATCTGACAGTGAAATGAGCACTATATTTGAAAATCCTTAAATGTGTGGTAATGTATTTAAATAGACGGTTATGAAGTCTAATAGGATGGAAAGATCCTTATGTTGTAAGCATGATACAATGTTAAATGTAAAAAGCACAACACAAACTGGTTAGATCAGTATATATAATGTACTTTTACGGGAAAGAGGGGGAAAGGAATACACACAAAATTCCAACCACACTTGAATTCGGATGGTGACTTTTCCTATATTCATTTTCCTTAATGTGAATGTGATAGTTACCCTTTCACTAATAACAGGAATTTTCTACAAAAATAAATCTAATGATTACTATAAGATATTGATTGGTTGGTTGATTAATTGATTGATTGCTTTTTGCTTCCTTAAGGGTTGGATTCTGGCGAAAGGGAGGTAAATGTGACATTGAACTTAAAAATACAAAACACAAATAGCCTCAAGTCATGAGGCTATTTTGCTGGTACAGGACAGAAGCTATGGCATGTAGAAAGTCCACAGTCTGTCAGCCACCAGTGCCTTCCTGGAGATAGTGCTCTTTGGGACAGTATTCCTGTAGTTTCCCTTCTGATCATCATTCATCTTCAAGTGAATGTTCATCTCAGGAAGCCTGAGCAATCAGCACTTAACATGTCACAGGGTTACAGTTGTTCTAGAACATCATTTTACTGAGATCAGCATCAGAAAAAACACAGTGTTACAAAAAGGGTAATATTGGTCAAAGGAGGAAGTTGACCATCGACCTTTACATACATTCATTCAACAGGTATTATTTACACTTACCCTGGGCCGGTTCTAAGCACTGTTGTAAGCATTGAAGATTCTTTAGGGAGTAAAGCATAACTCTCTTTCACAGTTCTTCCTTTCTAGTAGGGGAGACAGACAGTGAAAAGTTAAGTCATGAGGAAAACAGCAGTTTAAAGAATAGAACAACTGATATAAGATCAGCCTTCATTAGCTCATTCATCAAAATAGCATTTTTTGGAGGGGTTCCTGGCTGGCTCAGTCATTTGAGCATATAACTCTTGATCTCAGGGTTGTGAGTTCAAGTCCCATGTTGGGTATGGGAACTACTTTAAAATAATAAAAACTTAAAAACCAGCATTTTTTGGAGTTTCTTCTATGTGCTTTTTGCTGAGCAGAGGAGATAGAACAGTGAACAAAATTTGGTTTCTGGCACCCACAACTTCTCATATAGTGTGGAGGACTGTGTAGGGAGTGCTGTGATGGGGCAGATATAGAAAGGCAGCTATTGGGGCGCCTGGGTGGCTCAGTCGGTTAAGTGTCCGACTCTTGATCTCGACTCCGGTCATGATCTCACAGTTCATGAGTTCAAGTCCCACATGGGGCTCTGCGCCGATGGTGTGGAGCCTGCTTGGGATTCCCTCTCTCCCTCTGTCTCTGACCCTCCCCAGCTTGTGCTTGCTCTCTCTCTCTCTCTCTCTCTCTCTCAAAATAAATAAATAAAAAAAAAAGAAAAAGAAAGGCAGCTATCTCCATCTTGGGAGGACCTAGAAAGTCTAAAAGTGTATGTATATATTTAAGGTTTATTTATTTATATTTTTAGTAATCTCTACACCCTACATGGGGCTTGAGCTCACAATACTGAGATCAAGAGTCACATGCTCCACCAACTGAGCCAGCCAGGTGCCCCCGTTCATTGATTTTGTTTCTTAAATTCCAAATATGAGTGAAGTCTTTCTCTGACTTATCTCACGTAGCATTATACTCTCTAGATCCATGTGTCATTGCAAATGGCAAGATTTCATTCTTTTTATGGCTAAGTAATATTCCATTGTGTTCTTTATCCATTTATCTATCAATGGACACTTGGGTTGCTTCCAAATTTGGCTTTTGTAGATAATGCTACAATAAACGCAGGGGTCTGGAATATATCTTTTTGAATTAGTGTTTTCATATTCTTTAAGTAAATACCCAGTGGTGGAATTATTGGTTCATACAGTAATTCTATTTTTAATTTTGTGAAGAAACTCCATACTGTTTTCCATAGTGGCTAAACCAGTTTGCATTCTCACCAACAGTGCACAAGTGTTCCCTTTTCTCCAAATTTTCGCTAACACTTCTTTCTTGTGCTTTTGATTACAGCCATTCTGATAGATGTGAGGTGACGTCTCATTGTGGTTTTGATTGGCATTTGCCTGATGATTACAGCTGTTGAACATCTTTTTATGTGTCTTTTGGCCACCTGTATGTCTTCTTCGGAGAAATATCTGTTCATATCTTCTGCTGTTTAAATTGGATTATTTGGGCTTTTTTTGGTGTTGAGTGGTGTAAGTTCTTTATATATTTTGGATACTAGTCCATTATCATAAATATCATTTGTGAATATCTTCTCCCATTCGATAAGTTTGTCTTTTTGTTTTGTTGACTGTTTCTTTTGCTGTGCAGCTTTTTATTTTGATGTAGTCCCAATAGTTTATTTTTGTGTTCGTTTCTCTTGCCTCAGGAGACATATCTAGATGTCAGAGAAATTACTGCCCGTGCTTTCTTCTAGGATTTTTATGATTTCAGGTCTTGTATTTAGGTCTTTAATCCATTTTGAGTTGACGCTTGTGTATGGTGTAAGAAAGTGCAGTTTCATTTTTTGGCATGGAGCTATCCAGTTCTCCTAACACCATTTGTTAAAGAGATGGTCTTTTTCCCATTGTATATTCTTGCCTCCTTTGTCAAAGATTAATTGACCGTATGATCATGGGTTTATTTCTGGGCTCTCTATTCTGTTCCTACAAAGCCCTTTTCATACAGCTTATCATCCAGTCCATGCCAAACCCCAGGGAAGTAGGTAAATTAGAAACAGTGACCCCTCAAGGTGCCTGGGTTCCTCAGTCAGTCAAATGTCGGACTTTGGCTCAGGCCATGATCTTGAGGTTCATGAGTTTGAGCCCGTGTCACGTTCTGTGACGACACCTCAGAGCCTGGAGCCTGCTTCAGGTTCTGTGTCTCCCTCTCTCTCTGCCCCTCCCCTGCTAGTGCTCTGTCTCTCTCTGTCTCTCAAAAATAAATAAACATTAAGAAAAAAAAGAAACAATGACCCCTCTAAGCACACCTTGATATCCTGGATTGGATCCTGGAAATAAAAAAGGGCATTAATGGAAAAAGCGGGTCTTTGGTTTAGTTAATAGGACTGTCCAATGTTAACTTCTAAGTTTTGACAAGTATACTAAGATAATGAAAGAGGTTAACATCAGAGGAAGCTGGGTGAAGAGTATCTAGGAATCCTGTACTAATTTTTCTGTAAATCTAAAATTCCAAAATAAAAAGTAGGAAAAAAAAAAAAGGTCACAACACTGACTCCCTAGCCTTCATCCTAGCAGTTCATCTACTATCAGAAGAGAGCAAAGCAAGAGCATTACAGCTCAGAGGCTAGAGCCGCAGGCGGTGCTGGATGGAAGCTCTGAAAACAAGCAAGAATGGAAGGGGCTGAGCCTTGGGTAGTCCTGAAGGGTGTATGATGGCCAAACCAATCATTTGGGTCCTGCACCAAAAAAGAATAAGAAAATTCCTGGTCCCCAAAGAATTCACAATCTGATTTATAATCCTTTTCCTTGGCATTGGAATTCATAATGTGATTTCTTCACTTGCAGATTTCTTTTGCTAATATTCTTTGCTGTTTCAAGAATTACAAGAGCTTGCATTTGCTGAGCTTAACTCCAGCTGTGTCCCGGGAGGAAGTGGCAGCAGCCATTGAGAAG